TCCATTCTTTCTTTTCTTTCATTTTTTAATTGAGTTATAGTCATTTTATAATGTTGTGGGACTTTACGTTTCTTTGATGACAGTGGAGACACAGAGCAAGCAGTGAGGTTGCCACCAACTGAGTGTTTTTCCTAGCTTAAAAAAAAATGGAAACTGGAGAACTAATACATCTCAGTGACTTTCCATCTTTAATGATGTTAAAAAGTTATTTTGAGGGGAGGGTTATATCTCAGTGGTGGAGTGCATACTTAGCATGCATGAGGTCCTGGGCTCAATCCCCAGTACCTCTATTAGGGAAAAAAAAGTTATCTTGGCATCAAGATATGTAAGTACTAAATTATAATCCCCCAGTGCCAGCAGAAAGAAATCATTTAGTCAAGAATGTCCTTCCCCCAGAAGAGAGCCCTCTCCTTTTACTTACATGTAATAATCCTTTCTTTGCCAACTTTTCTATTACCGATTGCCACACTTCAGTTGAGAATCCAGTAGTGAAAATATGATCAAAGCAGGGCGAGAAACTTTGCAAAACAATGGGGTCATCTGAAAGAAAGTTCCAGAGTTTAGAAATTTTAACTTGGACAGTCTAGAACATTTAGGAAAAGGTCCTCCAGTTAGGACCGCACATAGAGAAAAACGGTAAACTTAAGACATCAGAAAGAAAGGCATTTTCGAAGTGTAAAGTCCTATATCATTGAAGTGGCAATCATCTTTTTTTTTAACCTTTTTTTTTTTGAGTTATAGTCATTTTACAATGCTGTGTCAAATTGTAGGCAATCATCTTAAGTTTGGGTGAAAATCGGTCCCCTAAGAGTTGGGCAGGAAAACATGAACTAACATTCACTCAGCTTCTGAGCCCAGGGATGTGTACTCATATTACTCCCTCAAAAGAACCAATATGGTAGTGCCTTTCTCCATTTACGGAGGAGGAAATGGAAGCCTAGGGGAAGGTACCAAACTCACTTCCTCTAAGACAGATGTGACAAATATTTTCACTCAGTAGATATGAAACTACGACGAGTGAGGTCAGGCTTCATGGCTTATCGTGTATCTAGTTCATGACCAAAACCAAGCCTGGCGGAACCCAGGTCTACCAGCTCTTTGGGTCAATCCACATTCTTACCAACCTAGTGGCCCTTCAACCTTTCGCATCTCGTGATCCTCCAGACTTTCGGATGAGAACGTCCAGGGGGACAGGTCGGGTGCTAGAATAACATGGCACCTCTTCTAGGTTGTCAATTTCCAAAAATCAGTGGGAAAGATATAGCTCAATTGACAGAATGCATGCTTAGCTTGCACAAGGTTCTGGGTTCAATCCCCAGTACCTCCATTAAGTAAGTAAGTAAGTAAATAAGTAAATAAATAAATAAACCTAATTACTTCCCCTCCTCAAAAAAATTTTTTTTAATTTTCCAAAAATCAGTACATACCAAAACAAAAATATATTGTCTCAAAAGGATACCAAAGTTCCATAAATATATTTTTCAAAATTCAGAAACTGGACCATGGGCATCTCTGTATCCTCCAAACAGGTGCACTTTGGTAGAAAAGTCTGGGATGCATTGTCACAAGAAGTCCCGTTAACTGGCCCCACTCAGGATCCAGACTTCTTAGAGGGGCAGTCACCATGAGGAGGCTGTCTGGAATTCCAATACATCTGGCTTGGCTTCTGATAGAACAGTGACTTTTATTAATTCCTAAAATGTTTTTTTCTCTTTTTTTAAGTGAAGTATAGTTGATTTACAAGGCTGTGTTAGTTTCAGGTGTACATGTACAAGCACAGTGATTCAGCCACATATATATATATTCTTTCTCAGATTCTTTTGCATTATAGCTTCAAGATACTAAATACAGTTCCTTGTGTTATACAGTAGGTTCTCGTTTATCTATTTTATATATAGTAGTGTGTATCTGTTAAACGCAAACTTCTAACTTATCCCTTATCCGCACCTTTCCCCTTTGGTAACCGTCAATTTATTTTCCATGTAGAACAGTGATAGAGTTGGGGAGGGCATAGCTCAGTGGAAGAGTGCGTGCTCCGCATGCACAGGGTCCTGGGTTCAATCCCCAGTATCTCCATTAAAAAAAAAAATTTAAAGGACACATTGGGACAATGAGGAAGTGTAGGGGATGGGTCGAGCCATTCAGATTCAAAGGAAAGGGAAGTGGGCTTTAGTCACTGTTCACCAAAGGCTGACTGGAGAGTTGTGACCCGTTAGCACCTGTCTGCACACCTTTACCTCTCTGTTGGGGGACACAGCTGAGCCCACCTCTAACCTCTTCCCCATGCACTGCCTGACGCTGCTCTTACCCCTACTCTGTGCCAAACTTGCCAGTCTATAGGATCCCATTCACAGACCACACAAGTTGCTTTCCCACAGTCACCAGGATTATCAGCCCTAGTCTCCCCACTTCTGAAAGCTGAGACCACTTTCCAGCCATTATAACCTGTGCCGTTTTTCACATTCTAACACCTCTAGAATCAGCACACGTGTTGTGATCAATGTTGTCTCTCAGTGGCAGAATACAAATTAGCAGCCCATCTTAAACCAGCACAATCTGAAATTTGATCAAACACAGTATTTAAAAACAATGGCCTGGCCATTGGCTGAACTTCGGACTGCACTGTGATAACCAGGGAATGAGCCCCTTTGCTCCGGCAGGGAGCATATTACATTGTGTTTCATGGTTTTCTGTTTCTGCCTACTCCAGGCCACCGACAAAGCCACCTCACAGTCCAGGTCTTCAGACTCATAATCCAATGAGCAATGCAAAAGCCCCACCCCTACCACTACCCCTCCTAGACTTGGTGCATGGCCGGGGGTGGGGGTGGGGGGGTCGGAGGGGGGGTGCCCTGCTGCAGCCATGACTCCAGCGCCCCCAGTCAGCTTCCCCATAACCTTCCGTCGGCCCATTCAGGTTATTTTCATAGCAAACAGGAATACTTTCTCGACGTATTGGAAGAATACATGCAAAAAAAATCAGAGGGAAGTGCACAAATCACATAAAACACATAATACATATGCAGGGAAATCTCTACGGATAGCAACCCAGAAAACTTAAGAAGTCCGAAGCAAAACTGGAAAGTTGCAACAGCCTTGAGGGATTTGTGCAAAAAGACCCAGTTGTTTTTACAAAGGCCTGAGCCACCAAAGCTTCCCAAATGCTTTCTAATGTAAAAACCAGTTTCATTCAAACAAAAGTAAGCCACAAACACCCTGTAATTATCTCCCCAGAAGCCTCAGTCCCCAGGAGCCATTCAAATAAAAATCACATGGACTTTTAAAAGAAAGAAAGAGGGCCCGCCTCCCCATCCCACCCACCCCCTTCACCGCCCCCCACCCCGCCCCGCTCCAGACTTACTGCCCATGGTGGTAAAGAATCCCACCAGGAAATCAGCAACCTGGGTCTGGTCCAGGCTGCGCTGCACGAGTCTCAGGCCGTCAAAAAACATGCGAGCAGCTTCGTAAGGCTGGAGCAAACGCAGCAAAGAATAACCAGCTCGGTAATATCCCTGGAACGAAAGAAAAAAAAAGGCAACACCATATACACCCATTTCTTCCCAAGGCTCACAGCATGATGGAGAAAGGCTGGAGGAGGCGCACTTCTGGGCAAACACAGATGTCTAACAAGCTCTGGTTACAGGTTTTCCTGTATTGTATTCTGTGCCACACTGTTCTTGTTATTTTTCAACTGGCAAGAAAATAATCACTTTCCAATCCATGACATATGCTAACTAAAAATTGGCAACTGCCACCTGCCTCTACAAGGATGGGTCACGTTGGCACTTGCCATCTAACTCTGCTTGGACTAAACTGTGAGCTGCTGCAGAAAGGAGTTCAGGATGGAGGTCAGGAATGAGGCGCTCTGTGCTCTGGGAAAGCTGGCTGAACAGAATTTCCCATCTCTCTGCCTTTCTCAGATCCAAATTTTTTTTAACAACTTTATTGTGGTATGATTCCTATACAATAAACTACACATATTTCAGATGTATAGTTTGATGAATTTTTATAGATGTATACACCCATGAAACCACCACCACAATCAAGATAGCTAACATTGCCATTGTTCCCCAAGAGGTACAAATTTTGAGCTCCCAATTTATCCCTTCCCACCCCCTTTAGCCCCTGGAAACCATAAGTTTATTCTCTGGGTCTGTAAGTCTGTTCCTCAGATCCAAGTTTTATCTTTTGTTTTGGAGGAAGATGAAGAGGACCAGAATACACCACCCCCAAATGTGACACTTTGGTAAAAAGATTATTTTGAGCTGAAGGCATCTGAGATTCAATGGATGCAGAAAGAAGTCTTCCTGGAGCTTCCGTTCTCTGACTAAAAAGCAGAAACTCCAAGAAATGAGGACTGCCATAAATCTCCTCTCCCGGGGAACCCTCATGCCACAAAAAAGACAGAGTGATGCCAAGATGGATCAGGGCAAGCCAACCTTGCTGAGACAGCCCTCATTTTCCATTCATTTCCCCCATATATTTACCTTCCCTCAGTTCACAGCCCCTAAAAATCTAAAAACCCTTCCTTCGGTCTTGTCTCTTCTCTGCAATTTATTCTCTTTGTTAAAAAACTTCTCTGAGGTCTTCACTTCTTGTCTAGGAAGGCCTGAGTCACATAATAATATCAAATAAAATTTGTATGCTTTCCTTCTGTTAATTTGTCTCTTGTCAGCTTAGTTTGCAGGGCCTCAGGCACTGAACAAAAGAGTATAGAGGAAAGTTTGTCTTTCTTCCCTACAGAGGACACTTGTGGGAGGGCTGGGCCGAGCAAGAGATGGAGAGGGAGACACCCAGGAGTTCCAGGTAAGAATGCAGAGGGGTCCTATGCTGTGTGTCAGCAGCTGCTACAGGTCAGGACACTCAAAGAGGAAACCGGGAGCATCATCCAGGACCCTCTGGGTCCCCTGGCCACAGCCATACCCTCCACCTGAGGCATGTGGGCAAACACCAAACACTCCCCACTCCATCCCAGTTGGAGAATGGAGACAATCCTAAAATGCCTTTGGGGAGAATTCCTCAGGAATACAGTCCCATTTTCAAAACTATTCAATAATTTCTAGCGTATCCACCCTCCAATAGAAGAGGTTTAATTTTAAATATACAGTGCCCTCCCTTCAGGTCAAACCCCCCCTACTTTCCACTGTGTTCTGTTTCTAGCAGTCATCCATGAACCACAGACCACGCAGATATAATACACACTCTTATTTACTGAGTGTCAACAACTTCATGCCTCCTTTTTTCCTGAAGCAACTCTAAGACACTGGGATTCTCTCATTTTTACAGTTGGGGAAATGACGGCTTATCGAGAGAAAACTCACTCATCCAAGTGCTTGAAATCAGCACACGGCAGGGCATGGGGGAGAAAGGGCTGTACTATTCCCATTTCATCATGGATGCAGCGTCTCTATAAACTGTCTGTATCACGAATTTGACATTCCGCTGCCTCAGTTGGCTCAAGAAATGCAATTTAAATGAAGGCCTCAGATATTTCGGGTATGTTTTTCCTCTCCCCGCTTGAATCACTCAAGGACTGGGCTGCTGTCTTCCACATCCTCTGTCTGCCTTAGGGCATCAAGAAGGTGCCTTGCAGAGCTGCCACTCAGAGCATCCTGGCTGAAAAGATGATCAAATGACCACCTATTGACCTTTGTTAACCACCTTAAAGGGGCTTGCTGGCCTCTCAAACTTCCCAGATCCCTCCAGAAGGGCTGATTTCTGCTGTAAGGAATGCTTTCTGAAGAACTCCACACAGCCTGTATTTGGAATAAAGCTTTGCTGAAATGAAACTTGCAAACAGCAAAGAACAGGAACAGACGATTAATTCTGGTGCAACTACATCAGAATAAAATGAGCTTCACTGGGGTCTCCACCAGACTCCAGCCGCCAAAATGCTCCGCTCTGCTCATCCCTGCAAATGCCTTTCAAGATTTGGCCACCATTTTTCTTACTCTTCTCCAGATTCTGCTCACAGGCTCTGTGCGCATCTGTCTCAGATGCAAAGAGAGTTGAATGAGAAGCACTCCTGGCATTTCCTTTTCAAAAAGAAGGAAGGGAAGGAGGCAGAAGAGGAAGGAGGCAGCTGCCCCGGTGCCCCGCTGTCTCCATACCTTCACGTAGGTTGGATCCCACTGGAGACACTCCTTGGCAGCCTCGTATGCGTCGTTCCACTTCCCAAGGCTGTAAAACGCGTTGGATTTGTGGCACAGCAGCACAGCCAAGTCCCTGGGGGGAACCCTGTGAGGTAGGACAAATGGGTGGTCGGTAAACAGTTCTATCTTTCCGTAAATACAGAACACCGTCCCTGAAGGCCACCACTCTGGTGCCAGCTGCTGCCACCACGATGGGGTTTCAGCAGGAAATGTCCCAGTTATGCCTATCACATCTGACCCTTGTAGCCTAGAAAGACTGGGGCGTCTGCAATGTCCCGATCTCCCTTCCTCACTCCCGCCTTTTAATGACTGATGTTCTCAACACCTTGGGTCCACCTCCTACGGACCTCCACCGGTCTTTTTATTCTTTAGAGACCATCAGTGAACATGCTGCAGAAAACGTGACTGGTCCTAAGGATGGAGAGGACAGGAGTTCCCACCGAGCCTGCACAGAGTGCAGACTCCGTGTGAGCCACCCCACATGCACGCTTGGGCGGACTGGAGGCAGAGCTTATCAGAATGGGACCACACTGTCCCACGGACCCCGGTGAGAGATGCAGGATGAGCACTGCTCTATTAGACAGACAGGGCCACCTGACCGTGGGCCAGGACCCAGGGCCAGCACGCAAATAGAGGCTCACACACCGTATGGCTAATTTACTGTCCGATATGGTAGTCACTGGCCATGCGTAGTAATTTAAATTTAAATCAATTAAAATAAAGCAACATTTAAAATTCCTCAGTTCCTGAATGGAGCACCTGTCAAGGACTCAATAGCCACATTCTCTCTTATAGAACAGATTCGTTGTCTCAGAAAGTCCTATTGGACAGCGCTAGTCTTAAGTATTTGAAGGCCATGCATCAAGTTTAGAAATGTAAATAAAAATGTTCTCTCCTTCTACTTTATAAGAACTGAAAGGCAAGCTTCAAGTTTGGAACTGCAGGCACTGCGTCAGGGCAGGGTGAGCCGGGCCTGTGCCCCTGCCCTCTCCCTCTTCTCTTTCCATCTCAGCCTTCATCCTGCACTGCAGGAGGAACAATTCCAAGCTCTGTCCACGCCCCTGACCTTGGCCAGCCCTCTGAAGAATAGGCTGTGGGGAAGAGGTCCATGCAGGCCCTAGGAGCAGGGTCCAGGGGCAGAAATTCCTGGGTCCATGCAACAGTAGTGCAGACCAAAGGGAACGCAAGGACTCTGGGTGGGTAAAGCCCCTAGTCCCATACCCTGCCTGTGGGGAGGGTACAGCTGGGGGAAGGCCAAAGCGGGCCTCGAAAGCAGGGCAGGGCAGGGGCCCTCTTCTCTGGGTCTAGGGGTCATACAGCTGCAAGATGAGTGCTGAAACACAAATATACCACAGGAAAACACAAAATATACCACAATATGTCAACAGAAGCCCAGGTGCTAATGAATTAAAGACACACAAGATGCAAAAGCAAGGCTTACGTTTCTTAAAAAAAAACAACTTTAATTGTAAAAATAATACAAATAGAAAACATAGGTGATACAAATACCCACAAAAATAAAGTAAAATTCCCCTCTACTGCGTCCCCACCCACAGTGCTCTGTGTATCGGGCTCCTCACACTGCCCACCCCTCCCTCGAGGTGAAGGAGGAGGACCTAGAAGCACAGGAGGAGCAGTGAGGCCGTCAGCGGGTGGCTGACAAAAGAACTATGACCTCAGTGTGGAGCTGAGGATACCCTGGCCAGTGCAGCCGTCCCCAGCAGAAATGAAGTGTTGGCTGCAACCAGGGGCTCCCAGGGCCTCATGCTCCAGAGATTTATCCTCAGGCTAATGGGAGCTGCCATCTCCCCAGGAAGTTACATCCCTCTTACGGACTGTGTCCTGCTCCAAAATTCATATTTGAAGCCCTGGCCCCCAGTGTGATAATATTTGGAGATGGGGGCCTTTGGGGAAGTGATTAGGTGTACATAAGTCATAAGAAGTGGGCTTCACAGTAGGATTAGGGCTCTTATAAGAAGAGACACCAGAGAGTTTCCATTCTCTCCCCCTCCCCCCGCACCGGGTGAGGATGCAGTGAGAATGTGGCCGTCTGCAAACTAGGAAGAGGGCACTTACCAGGAACTGAATTGACTGGCACCTGGACCTCGAACTTCCCAGCCTCTAGAATTGTGAGAGTAAATTCCTGTTGTTTATTCCACCCAGTCAATGGTATTTTGTTACTGCAGCCCGAGGTGACTAATCCAGCCCAGCTCCCGCGGACAACCCCTGGGGACCAGACAGCCTACAAATGATGACTGACTGACATGGAAATCAAAAGGTCAGTTCAGCTTCCTTGTCCTCAAGTGAGACCAGCTCTGCTGTACGATGCAGGCTCCAGAGCTCCCCGGGGATCAGGATGAGGCTGACTTCAGCTGGGATACCACCCTTGCTTAGAGCCTTCCCGCCCCACCCAGCCCCATCCGGCTTTCCTCAGTCCCCTTCTCCTGAGAGCACTTGCTCTGGGAACCACATGCACCCAAATCCCTGTGTCAGCTGGAGTGGCAGGAAGGCCCAGGGAATGGTGTCAGGAAGGTCCCATGAAAGGTAATATTTGAGGGTGCAGGCAGATGTCCCGTTAGCAATCAGGCAGCTGGGAAGCGGGGGAGCTGAGATTTGAGCACTCCCAGTGTGGGTTCAGTCTGTGGTCACAACCACTACACGACACTACCTTTTTAAGGAAGGTCACTGTTTTCCCCTGAATGAGGAGCTCTAGGCCCAGCTCTGACACAGCTGTGATCTGAACCAGGAAGGGCAGAAGGAAAGAACTATAGGCCCAGGCCAATGACAGCCAATTCAAGTCCTCCTGGAGTAGAGACACCAAGGTGACAGGAGGGAGGTGATAGGAGCCATGTTTCATGAATTTAACCCAGTGCCATTTCTCAGCACAAGTTTAGGCTGCGTGCACCCTATCAGTGCCCACCTCTGCTTCCTCTACTACAGGTGTCCCCGAAGGATGATCTGGGAATCTCTGAGGGTCCCCAAGACCATTTCAGGTGGTCCAAAAGGTCAGAATACCTTCACAACTGTAGTTGGCTGAATAATGCTCCCCCCAATAATGTTTCCTTTTAGGGGACTTTGGAGATGTGATTAGCTTAAGGATCTTGAGGGGAGGAGATCATCCTGGATTTTGATACAGTCACAAGGGTCCTTATAAAGGGAGACAGAGGGAGACATGGCCACAGCAGAGGAGAAGGAGACGTGATGAAAGAAGCAGAGACTGGAAGGATGCATTTTGAGGGTGGAGCAAAGGACCACAGACTAGGGAATACAGGTGTCCGTCACCTGAGGGTGAAAGCAGCCAGGAAACTGCTCCTCCACAAGGAAACAGCCCTGCCGACGCCTGGATTTTAGCCTCATGAGAGCCATTTCAGACCTCTGACCTCCAGAACTGTCAGATAGTAAATCTGTATTGTTTTAAGCCACTCAGTTTGTGGTCATTTCTCATAGCAACAACAGTCAACGAATTCAACAATACCAAGACAGTATGTGCCTTTTCATGCTCGTTCTCTGCCATGGGGACGGGGAGCTTTGCAGAAGCTATCTGACATGTGACACCACAACAGACTCAATGCTGAAGCAGATGTGAGAAGCCAGATGTCTTGTGGTGAGACACGCATTCAAGAGATTAGCAAAACTGTAAAATAAAACTCTTCTCACTAAGTTTTTGGTTGTGAAAAATACCCTCATTTTTCATTAAAATGTTACTTATGTTAACATGTCATGGGTTTATTACTGATATTTAAAAAGAGGTAAATCAATGCATATTTTAAATTGTTCTCAGTTTTAAGTTCTCATACAGACTCTACCGATAGCTGTGACCTACATCAACAAAAGCTCTTTGGGGTCCTCCACAATTAGTAAGCAGACCATGATACTGACCTGTTTGGGAGCAGGTCTGCCAGCAGTAAAGGGGCAGGGGATGGGGGGAGCTTTAGTTCCCAGTCGTGTGCCCTGGGGCAGGGTTGTTGATGGATAAACAAGATGCAAATGAATGACAACTGAGGGGTCCGGGACTTCAGTTATCCCAAGAACTCTGATCCTGGAACCAGACAGAAGGGGAAGTTTTGCAATATTTATCAACAGTCCTCTGTGTTTCACTTTCTATTTCCTGAATTCCTCCAGTAGTCTCAGCTCAGCTTCTGAGCTGACAATGCAGAGAATATGAACAGAAAGCAGGAGAGAAGGGGTGGTGACGGGGAAAAGAAAACAGAAACTAGGTGGTGTGATATGAAAAGAGAAGCAAACAAAAGCAAGCGAGTGAGTCTCCCTTGACTTAAAAAAAAATTGAAAGGCGGGGAGAAAATCCAAACACTTACCCCCACTGGAACAACTGCATGAGAATCTGGATGGCTTCATCATACTTTCTGATGGCCAAAGAGAAGTTCCCGTTCTTAAACACCTGGTTGCCAGATTCTTTCAACAGCTCAGCGTAAGCTATGGGGTCCATCCTGCGAGGACAAGGAGGAAAGGCTAGCTGCCGCCCGCCCGCTAGGGGCTCCTTCCCCTGCATATCTGCAAGGCTCCGAGTCCGGAGGGGCAGATCGTTCACTCTGGCCCCTCCCACCGGCCGGGAGCACACCCTGACCACGCCTCCCGCCACCACCGGGGAACCCGACGCGGGGCTGATCTGATGAGGCCATTTCTTCCTCAGTTCTTTTCTGACCTCAGGGGCAGCGGCCAGAGCGATCCCATCTATTCTGTGTTAATGATCAGCTGGGCTCTGAGAAAGGAGGCTGCTTCCGTGCACAAGACAACATACACCTGGCCGGCAGCGTGCGCTGGAGAAGCGGCAGCTATTCCTCCCCCCACCCCCAACCACCACCCCGTAATCTGCATTCATGGACCCATCACTGCAACCCAGAAGGAGGCACTGTCCCCACTGTTCAGATAAGAAAACTGAGGCTCAAAGAGGTTCAAGTCATTTGCCTAAGGGCCTGCTTAGACAGATCCCAACTCCAGGTTTCCACTCTTGACCCTGTACCTCATCACCTACTGGTACAAGGAGTTGATGGCTCTTCCATTCTCTTAGAAGGTGGGAAGAGGGAGAGGTGGAGTGGTTCTAAAGGTTAAAGTATGCAAGAGGCTAGGACACAGGGCCACCCACAATCACAACCTCTCCCGCCCTCCTGTCTTCCTAAAAACACTAGTAAAACAGGCCTCAGAATATTTGTCCCTGAGATTGCCATTGCCTGCTTACCTCTGCACCCCCTCCCAAGAAGCACTGGCCTCTTTCATGACTCTTGTTTTATTCACTTAGTAGCCCTTTGGCCTAGCATCCGATGGGTACTTAAATAGCTGTGGTGTAATGACCTTGAATACCAGACCCAGAGAGGCTGCCCGTTACCGATTCTCTCTGGAATGGTCTGGGTAGCGGGAGAGAAGGGCCTGGAGCCCTGCCCACCTGATGGGTTGCAGGACGCGTTTGTGAACAAAGGTAGTGGAGAGGAGAGGCCTTGGAGAGCCTCAAGAAGCAGCTGCCAAGGAGGCAGGGACAAGGTGGAGGTCAGAAGAGATGTCGCTTACAATTTTCTCCTCCCAAAATGGCAGCAGGAAATGCAAGGCAGTGGGAAGGGTCTTAAAAAGGAGGATAGTCCACATTGACAGACGAATGGATCAAGAAGATGTGGTGTACATACATACACAATGGAATACTACTTGGCCGTAAAGAAGAATGAAATAACGCCATTTGCAGCAACATGGATGGACCTGGAGATTTGTCATACTAATTGAAGTAAGTCAGACAGAGAAAGACAAATGCCACATGATAACACTTACATGTGGAAACTAAAAAAAATGATACAAATGAACTTATTTACAAAATTGAAACAGACTCACAGACACAGAAAACAAATTTATGATTACCAAAGGAGAAAGGGGTAGGGGAGGGATACATTAGGAGTTTGGGATTAGCAGATACAAACTACTATATATAATATAGATAAACAACAATGTCCTGCTGTAGAGCACAGGGAACTATATTCAATATCTTACAATAGCCCATAATGAAATAGAGTATGAAAAGGAATATACTTGTGTATGACTGAACCACTATGCTATACACCAGAAACTAACACAACATTGTAAATCAACGATACTTCAATTTAAAAAAGAAATTTTTTCTTTAATTTTTAAGTTTTGTTTCAAAAATGAGGACAGATAGCTGCAAAGGCCCCACAGCTGTGGGGTCATACAAGCTACTGGGGGTCTTCTTAACCAACACAGCCCTTAGATAGATAATCATTCTTACTGTTTGTATCATTTTAAATCTTGCTGAAGGGGATGGGGGCAGGGGAAGCAGACCCATGCAGGTAGAAGTGGTGGCTTATTGTAAACCCATATGAGCTTACTGGGCTTTTGAACTATGCTGCATGCTTCCAGCAGAGATGTAACAGAAGGAGGTGTGTGATCGCTAAACAAGTGAAAACACAAAATTCCAACCCAGTCTTTGTATTAAATAATCTCTCAATCCCATGGCTCACATTTATACTGAGATGACAGAGGAGAACATGAAAAAAATTTTAATTGAAGATGAGGGAGTGAAAACATCTTTCTCTTTCAAATACTGTTAGCCAGGTATTCCATAAATAATTTATAAACTGGCCATGATCAGACAACTAGAAAAAGGAACCGCTATAACAACTGTCAAAGGGTTAATACCCTTGTTTTATAAATCCTTTTTCACTGCAAGAAAGGATCCACACCCTGACCAAAATGTGTAAGGTACTAAACAGAAAATTCACAAAGGAATATCATTAACTGCTTAATATATGAAAAGTGGATACCCAGGACCACCCTAACTTGTACGCAAAGAAATGAAGAATTAAAACAACAAGGCATCACTGGAAAATACTTAAAAGAATGACCCCAAATATTGGGCACTGTCATATTATTCTGCTTACAGGGAAATATACTACATCGCAGATTTATTGAGCCTTGTGGATGTTCGCCACAGTAAAACACCAGAAACAACCCTAAATGTTTCATAATGTGAAACAACCCTAAATGTTTCATAATGTGTAACGAATTTGGATCAGTTATAGAACATCCATATGGTAGAATACCACACAGTTATTTTAAAAATCATGTTGTAAAAGAACATTTAATGATAGGCTAAGTTACTAAATGAAAGATAGAGGCAACACAAAAAGGCATACAATCTCAAATTAAATTTTAAACACATCCAATGTATTGAAACCATGCCAGAATGTTAACAGCCCCACCACTGGGATTAGGCAGGGTTTTCATTTTCCTCCTTGTGCTTTTCTGAATTTCCAGTTGCCCGAGACTGTGCCACGTTCATAATCAGACCATAAATGTCACTAGAACAAGACTCTTTAAGGGCTTCATTGAAGAAAACAAACACAGAATGTTTCCACTGTATTTACAAGTACAATACAAAGTATTCATGTCAGAACTTTTTTCGTACACCTCTAGAAACAAATAGTGAGCATGCACAAGGTCCTGGGTTCAAACACCAGCACCCCTATTAAAAATAAATAAAAAAATTTTAAAAAGTAACTTCCCCTCTGAAAAAAAAAATTAGAAACCAATAGTGAGCTCTTAATATTATGTGAGCAAACATCAAATGTATCCATCTACTTTTTCTGCTTTTTCTTGGTGCTTTTTTTCTGCTGCTTTTTCCCTCCGGCTTTTTCTTGGTGCAATCAAGTAACAGGGGAAAGGAGGATTGCCAACCACACAAAAGCTCTTTGCTTCTTAATAGCAAATTGACAGTTACATCCTCACTACAGGGAAGAATGCTTTATATCTCTGCCTCAAAACACTTATGGCTCAACTGTTGAATCTTTTTTTTTTCAACGAGCCAGCAGACTACTGATAGGATGAAACTGCTAAATACAAGTGGTAATGATTTACCATAATGACCATATCCTTTAGAACTAATATGTCGTGAGCATCTGCTACGTGCTTTACCTCATCATGTCATTTTATTCTTGCAAGAAGCCCCAGGAGGTAGCCTTGATTGTGTCCCCATTCCACATATGGAGAAAGCGAGGCCAGGAGAGGTAAGTAAGCTCCTTGCCATCGTCCCAGGGAAAGTGGTAGCGCAGTAATCCAAACCTAGGTGGGCTGGCTTTGGGAGCTCGACTACACTCTGAAGAGCCAAGACAAAGGCAAAACTGTCAGCGGGCTACCCCACAGCAGTCACAATCCTGCACTTTCAGTTTTGTCAGTGCTGCCAATGCTAAAAGATGAGGATGTAAAGACAGTTTCACAGGGGCGGGGTCAGCTTTTGCTCAGGTTCACGATGTCCCTAGGAGGATTCAAGGTCCACTTGCTGGGAGGTGGCCAGGGCTGCTGAGAAACACAAGAGGAAGCAGATGCGGGGAAAATGCAAACACACTGAGGAGGTTCTGAAACCAGCAAGTCTGAAACTTAGCAGATGCAGGTTGTTGTAGTTTTGTGTGTGTGTGTTTGAGTTTTTTGTGCTTTGTTTTGTTTTTCTTAATTGAAGTCTAGCTGATTTACAATACTGTGTTAGTTTCAGGTGTACAGCAAAGTGATTCGGTTATACATATATATCTGTATTTTTTTTTCAATTCTTTTCCATTATAATTCCATTGGGTAAACACACATGAAGTTCTATAACTGACTTACAGGACCAAAACTGCAAACAGGGATGGGTTTGGGGCAGCTGAAAGGGGCAGAGGGAGACCCTCCATCCCTTTTCTGGGTACCACTTGACATCTTAACAGCAAATTTGTTTACTTTTTTGCTTTTTGGTGGTGGTGTTTTGTTTTGTTTTGTTTTAAATAAAATCCTTTCAAAATACTCCCCAAAGTAATCAATGATCCAAGATCAATTCTTGGGAAACTGGGAATAGGGACAGTTCCAAACTGAGACCACAGAGAGCAATTCTTAAAACTGACTCCTCCCTGCTCCCACAGGAAGGCGGGCACAGACAGGATAAGAATCCAAAGTCACAACTCATTCTGGGGACTCCAATTTGTTTTCTTTGCTTTTCTTTATTTTTTCCCTTGAGGGGAGGGGTGCAAACATGGAAAGAGAAGAGTAGGGATTTTCTTAAGAAACTCACTCAAAACTTTTCAAAGACATCTGGGAAAGTGTGAAGTGGTGGCTCCAAGCCTTCCCTATCTGGGTGTTTAAATAAAATGAGAAAGACCAGATCATTGTGGCACCCCACCTCAGCTGTCTCACCTGCCCCAACCCACCAAAGCCCAGTTCAGTGGACTGCCGTAAACCCAGTCCAGGCCATCCCCTTTGGCTATCAACTTTAAATTATTCCACCTTAACTGGCAGCCTCATTTACCTCCAACTACATGTACACCAACAGCAAGATGGTGATTATAAAACTAGTTGACTAGTCCAGCTCCAAAATCTCCCTTGTAAAATTTACATTCTAAAAGTCATACTCCCTGCAAAACTTAAACACCATAAATTCTATCTCTGTAATATGTGCAGTCTCTTG